TGGGAGTTGAAGTCCACACGTCTGAAAGTTGGCAAGGTTGAGAAAAACTGAACTAGATGAACTTAAACCAATATGAATGAAAAATAGATAATATCCTCCCGGCTGGAGTAGAAATCCACAACAGGGTAAAATTATTTATACACACCCACCCACACACACACACATCTCTTATTTATTCAGGACTATTTTATATTGTATTTTTAATGGATTTTCGCTTCTCTGTAAACCGCCCAGTTGTTTTTTAATGAGCTGGGCCATGACAAATTTGAAATATAAATAAATATAAATAATGTACGCGCCGACATTTGAGCAGACTTCTCCCAAACCTGCTACGGTTTGCCAAAATACTTTTGAGTCAGGTGCTTTTGAGTCGGGTGCTGTTCCTTTCCCAGTTTGCAGTCACCTGAAAAATGGAGTCTGGAAACTCCCGGTGGTAGCCCATCTGCCAGTGACTGACTCGTTGTCCCATGCGCCACAAGGAACTAGGAACGCCTGGACAGGGGAAGGGGAGAACAAGGAGAAAAGCTATGCAGCCACAGGATGGAACAAGTGGGGAGACCCAGCCCAGGGTGGATGGGGTAGAGGCCGTGTGTCCTCAGTATTCCCTTCTCTAAAATGGGCGCAAGGCGGCCACTGATTTTTAATGGGGAATCCCTCTCCAGTGCAAGATGCGAGCCGATGTGCTCCCCACCCTGCCAACCCGCGTTACGCCTCCCATCATTGCCTGCCATTGGCAGAGGGGCGTAGAAACACGGGAGGACGGTAGCCGAAAACTGGGGAACGAAGATGGAATTTCGCGTCGCCAAATTCTGGGAGCCAGATCGGTGGCTTAACCTGTTCTGCCTGGATACCTGGAGGGAATTAACTGAGAAGCAAATCATTTCATCTGAAATTCTCCCGCACGTATTTGTGGATGTTTCCCTTACCTGGGTAGGAATAAAAAGAGTCACACTGTTGTCTAGCCTGGCCTGCCCCTTCCTGACCTTGTTTCACCTCCTAGGAAAACAAGGGAATTAGAAAAGAAAGACGTATACAAAAAACACTGGTGTGAAAAAAAAAAAGCTTAGATCGTTTGTACAAGTAACGGGGAGGTACAGAGCACTGGAGTAGGCCCCGATGCTTGGAAAATGTAAGGCAATCGAAAAAAGAAGACTCAATGGTGAGATACAGGTCGTCCTCGTTTAGCGACCACAATAGGGACTGGTAACTTGGTCATTATGGGAAGCAGTCACTAAGTGAAACTACGACTGTGCTTACGGTCTGACTTCCACTTTCCTTGGCTTTCCGGACCTGAGAAGGTCATCAGCGCAAGGACTGGTGGCAAAGTTACTTTTTCATCACCGTCGTAACTGCGAACGGTCGCTGTACAAGGCAATCGCTAAACGAGGACAACCTGTATTATCATGAATTATACAAGCAGGAGCTTTCAAGAAATCAAAGAAGCCATTCTGAATAGATCATACTGCAGTCTGGCCCAGAGATTCACAAACTGTCTGAAACAACCGCACCGTAACAACATGTTGAGCCAAAAGCACACGCGCATGCATGCACACACACTTTTTTTTTTTTTTGACACTGCCCCTACCTCTTCCTTTTGTTCTGCAAAATCCTCGGCACCGCTGGAAAGGCAAAGAGGAACAGTATTGAGGCAGCAGGGCGAAAACGTTACTGACGGAAAAGTAAAACTATTTCATTCCCCAATGGATGGAGTTGATTGAACCTGCCCATCAAAGCAAACCTGGAGGGCCAGTTTTTGCCCCCCTCCCACATTTCCCCCACGTTGTAAAAGCCTCTCCGTCGTTCTGTGCCGTCTGTCGTACCTCGTGAGTTGGCCCTCCTCTTGATTGTCTTCAGAGGACCTCTGCAAGAACAGAGAGAGATGAGAAGGACCTTCTCTTCTCACGTCATTCTACCCCGTCCAGCCTGGTCTCCCCCCTCTCTTCCTGTGCCAGCCATTTTTGCACCTCGCAGGGAATGGGGGGGGAGTCTGCAAAATGCTGGAGCTGAAGTTCAAAACCTTTCGATTGTGCGCCATCAAGTCCGTGTCAACTCGTAGGGACCACATAGGACCAGCCGGCATGTCCACCGGGGCGTCATTGTGGGATGGGCACCCAAAATACCAGGACGCAGGTTAATTCTGCTTTCATCTGATAGCAGAGCAGACATTTCCAGGCTAACATCCTCCAGAGCATATTAATTTCCAAGTCGGGGAGGGTTGTGTTACAGATTAAAACCGTTCCTGCACTGCGTCTCTTCTAAGCGGGCAGAAGTACAGTGGAAATCAAGCCAGAAAACCTCTGGCTATTTTACAAGAAACCAAACATTTCAGACAGTCCATGAAAGCTAACAGCCTAGTAATTGGCTAGGTTAGCTTTTCTCCGGCTTTGCCTGAACCCAGAAGATGGGGTGACTAAATAACTAGGTTAAACCTAGGTTGTGAATGGAGACACTGTTGGGGATGGATCTTCTACAGTATCCAAAATTAAGAATGAAGCAAGGGTTGCGCCCCAAACGGAACATCAGTTCAGTTCTGCTAGTCAACAAAATCACGGGGAATTCACAGGGAAGACGGAGGG